ATGGAAAAGCAACAAGCCGATACGTTATGTCTAAAGTATGCCGGTCCCTTCTTCCCTAAGAACAGGAGACCGGGTCGACCTCACAGAATCGATGGAAATATAAAAATGAATCCGAAACAAACGAAAGAGGTCCCTTCTACTATATCTGGACTAGCAAAACTTTACTTCAACTATGTATAAATCAACAAAATTACACATGTTTAAGACTGTATTTTTTCATGAGATCGTCAACTTTGTATAGTAAATATGTGCGGTCATTGTACAGTAATATTCAATAAGATCTCCCTTTGTATATTTTAGCGTTAAAGAACAACACTAAATTGTGAAAGGCGATACTAGGTGAGCCCCTCAGTAAATGACCAACCATATTCAACGATCGACATTCCTTGCCTGTTGGATGGCATCACCCGAAATCGCACAATTCTAACACATCCCCTTGCAAACAAGAAGGATAGACGACCCCCTCAAAGAGGGACCTACGACGGCATGACCCTCTTTTTAAATTAAGAGGACAACTTACCGAAGACTGTTTTCTTAACAAAGGCAGCCCCCACGAAAAGATATCTTTTGAGGCTCTTCTTCGCGACAGGATAATCTTTCTATTGCGATCAACCCGTTTTGACCTCCGGATGTTTTAACCACTCCTTATTAAGCAAAGAAGAAAATATATCGTGTCCAATTGCCAAATTATTGAATGCGATCTCAAAGTCAAAACGTGGTCGACGAGCGAAGAGACAAAGATCATCGCAAAAAGAAAAGAGGAGGTTTGCAAACACGATCAAGATGGAACTTTTTGGGGTCGTAAATTTTTTTGCGATCAACCAATTTGATCCTTATTTAGAAGCAAACGACGCATAACAATCTAAACCCTTGTAGAACTACGGACCATTCCGAAGGCGCTCTACTGAACTGTGATCTTTCTTATGCATCCGCTATCAATAAGGCGCTTTGACCTTTCCTCAAAAACCCTGAAGGTTTAAAAGCCGCAAGATGACACTGGAACTAAGAAAGTTACGAAAAAAATACAGGAAAAACCAATTGACTCGTGTACTGAATATAATTCTCTGACATATCTTGGCGATCGCAAAACCATCACTTAGAGAACGAGTCATGGTTCGTTATCTTTTCCTCTCAGATAACATATTTGTTTATGTTCCCTCGGCGATCAGAATCACCTACCTTCGTCAATGTAAGTTTCGTATAAAGGAAATAGATAATTTCATCCCGATTTGAAGTTAGAAAGTTTTATACAGTCAAAAAAGCAATTTTTTTCACCCCATAAAAGTACGAAAATAATTATGCGATAGACTATTCCGCAGACAGACGAAAGTAATTAAAAAAATGCGAAACAATTATATGGAACACACATATAGAGATAATTGATAAACTGCGAAACATTTATCCAATAAACAGGCGGGCATAATTAATAAAGTGCGAAAAAATTATGCGACACAACGAATATAGTTGATAGATACAGTTATGTTATACATTATGCGACAAATAGACGAACATAATTTATAAAGTGCGAAACGATTATACGATAAACTATTTGACGTACATACCAAAAATAATTGATAAAGTGCAAAATAGTTATGCGACAAACAGACATACACAATTTTGTAATGTGCGAAACAATTATGAGATAAACTATGCCGACATATAAACTTAAGAAATTGATAAAGCGTGAAATATATATGTGATAAACTGTACAATAAATTGACTATTTTACGACTTATGGTTGGTGCATAATATGATTCATGTATATCTACTTTAATTTTTCCTAACCGAGATGAACGTATTTTAGAATTTTTTGTAATTTGGTCAGATTCTGTTGACATTATCTGGATAACAAGCAATTGTAGTAATGCCCTCGCATATTCTGAGATTTTTTTCTATTTAAAGAATAAATAAAAATAAAGTTTAAAGAACTTACGAGTTATTGGAATGAAAAATAAAAGGAAAATTAAAATTTACATATGTATTCATACGTGGTAAATAAATCCCTACTTCAGATTTGATTTCAACAAATCCAACCAGCCACATTTATTATTAGCATTAATTAGTAAGAACCATAATCAAAATCAAAAAACGTTTAGGAAGTCTACGTTTGGGATTTTAAAATACTGGTATACAAAAGACTTTCGACCGACTGGAAATTCTGGTTTGAGCTCCTTGTCGGTTGAATGTCCTTGAGACATACAAAAGTTACACCGAATGAGTTTTCCAGTGAAGAGCCTCTGATATTTAAGTTAGCACTTTTAGAAGATGAAGTGCAGATGTAGAGAATATAGATAATGTAATATAATAATGTACATACCTCTTTCCCTTGTATAATGAAATGATACGTTGTTGCACAAAATTGCCCGAGTGGGTTGCCCAGACTACTAGTTCATACTGTCGAACTGGTCGATTTGCTCAATTCTGTTAGGTCACCTGACCCTATTTACGTGTGACTCTTATCATAATAATATTCTTTATTATCTATTAGTCTCTCATTAAACCGCCTAATGGTGTGACCTACTCGAATCCTGTATAAGGTAGAATGTTGCATGCACCAAGCTTAAGTGTTGTCTTTTTGGTCAATCGCACGACCAACCACGCCTTCAGTTCGGGTTTCAAACAGGCCATCCGAGGGCCCTAGCTCGACCTGCCGCTCCCCTGAACAATCATGTCTTCTTCGACCCGAAGACTTCTTGCTCTGCACCGGCGTTAGATCTTTGTTCAACCTGCCTGTGGCTTTGATTGACTAATCGAATTGCTCGGTCTAGTCAGCCAGTTTGTTGGGTTCGTTTTACCTGGTGCGGTATTTCATATCAAATATATTTTAATAATTTTTTAGATATGAGACTTTTAAAGATTTTGAGATTTAAGAGGAATTGTTTGAAATATTAAGTTTGGAGGTTTTGATTTGAGGTGAAATTCCGTACAAGGTTTATGAAATCTCAGCAAATCTTAATAAATTTTAGTGTCTTATAAGTTAAATACCTCGTAATTTGTTAAGACTTTTTGAAATCTCAAATGATTATCTAAGAACTTCTAAAACTCTTAAAACGCTGAAGTAAAATACACCAAGTTCTTAAAGTCCCAACAAATCTTTAAGAATCTCAAATGAATACCCTTAATATTGGGTAGACTTTACCACATATAAATAAAATTTCCTTAATTAATTTCCTAAAAGTCTAAAATTAAACAAACTGACTGTTTTATCCAAACCTCTTGTGATAAAAGTTATAACGAGTTAAATGTAGTTCATTGTTGTAAAATTAGCGAATTGAATCTTGACGGGTGATATAGCCATAATAAGGAATAACAGCTTAAGTGCTCACTACTCGACCGGATGACGAGTCGAACTGCCCCTATCGACCGGAATGATGTTCACAGAGGTAGTCGACTCCCTATGTCACCATGATAGGGAAAGTCGACTTCTCTAAGTCGACTTCCTTGACTTACGTAACCACCCGCGATGGGGAGGGTCGCTTCCCCAAGTTGGTTTCTCCATGACGCTTGAATCAAGGACGACTAAGCTCAGAGATGACTCCCACTAAGGGTGAACATGTAGTATAGCCTCCTAACGTGTCCGTAGATGAACTACAGGTCGACTTTGGGTGTCAATAGGTCGACTTACAACCCTTTGAGGTCCGCAACAGATAACGATTCCGAGTACTTGGGAACATCCAGGCTAACCCCATAAGATGAATCTTTGTTGGATAAGAGGGAATCTTAACCTGACTCAGTTCTGACTAAGAGGTGATTAGGACTGGGTAAACCGACCGGTCGACCAGAGCATTTCAGGTATTTCATGTAAGTATTCTCTCCTAAAGGGATCAAGATAACCCCAAACCCTAACTTTTATTCTCTCTATTCATTTTTCCTACTGTTGCTGCCCCCACTGAGCAGAGCTCTCTTCATTTCTTTGCACTCACTTGAGCGTCGGAGGCTCTATGCCGGAAACACTTCCGACGTTGAGTTCTTGCAGGTGTTTACGGCGGTCTAGAAGCGATTTGAAGGCAATTCGAACATATCGGAGCTCACAACCACCGGTTCACTCCAAATCTAGGAGGAGACCCATCAACGATCAAATTGTTAACTAGCTTGTTTTGTGAAAGTATTATTTTATTTTATTTTTAAACCCAAAACTTTACTTTGAAAAAATTCAATATATAAGCATTTTTGCTATAAATGATTTATAAAATAACAAATCAATATACGACTTCAAAAATATTCATACAAACTGCTATTTGGAAATAAAAACTCTAAAGAGAATCCGCAAAATAATCACATCAATGTAAGATTTGTAGAATAGGTATACAAACTGTTTTATTTACGAATCTAACGATACTAATACTATTTATTAGTCAAAAATACAATTGATTAGTCAAATTTATTAATACAAACTACCCAAGAGCGCTTGGATGAGATGACTTGGGTCTCTTCCAGCTTAACCAGTGGTTTCGTGTTCGAGCCCTGAGAATGCAGCAGTGTTAAAACTCTTGAGGGAGAGCTTTGCCGCCCTTGTGGTCCTACCCGGCTCGATTCCGGATTAGTCGGTTCCCTTGTAGATCTAAAAACCGGAAGGTCCCTGTACCAAAAAAAAAAAATTATTAATACAAACTCGATTCACTAATACAATTCGATATCAATTTATTACCAAACACGACCATAAAAAAGGCTACTTGATTAATTACCAATTATGATTATCCGCTCGTGACCTTAATCTTAATTTAAATAAAAAATATAGATGTATATATAATTCTAGGAAATATCACGGTCTCGTTACGTAACTATTCCGTCAGAATTTGTAATCGTCGGATCATCATGTAACTATCGGAAATAGTTGATCTAACGATTACAAATCTCGACGAAATGATTCCATAACGGGACATCTCCAATAATTCTATTTAGATATTATTTAAATAAATTGATAAAATTATAACTATATATACACACACGCAAACTAAAAATTTCATTCATATTGACCAAATAGATTATTGTACCCAATAATGGCTCCGAAATACTTGTTATGGTTATGTGGGTTTGTCGTGGCCGCCGTAATTTCAGCCGCCGAGCACCGCCGGCCACCTCAACGGAGGATGCTTTCTGAGTCGCTAATTAAAGAACTCGATGACGTGGGCCCAACTTCTCCCCAACAGGTATAATAAATTAATTAATATAATATTTTATTTTAAATTTTCCGGCCATGTTTTCCACCGGCTAATATTTGCTAAAATATGTACATAGGACTACATTTTGTTTATAAATCAATTCTAAAAATATGTTCATAAAATTTTGATTTTTGTAATGTCAAAATATCTATAAATTAAAAATTTATCATAATGTATAGAATAATATAAAATTAAATTATATTTGGATAATTTTAATTTTCCGCGTCAAAATTATCCTTATCCATTGAAAATATTCATTTTGTGGGAAACTTTAATATGCTGATTTTATTTATTAAAGAAAATGAGAAATAAATAATTTATACTAAGTACCATAATTAAAAATTTGGAAAGTTGGTACTCATTGCAATAACGTATAGAAAATGTATAATTTGTACAATAATTAATGAATCATATATATATATAATATTGAAAGAAATAAATGAAAATATCACCATTTATGTATTTATTTTTTTCTTGGATCAAATAGGTGCATATATCTTTGAGTGGGCCGAACCACATGAGAATATCGTGGATCACTTCATATCCAACTCCGCCAGTTGTGTACTACGGCCCAAGCCCAGGCCCAGGGTCCAAAAGATTCTCAGACAATGGAACCACCAATCAATATGGCTATTTGACTTACCAATCCGGACAAACGCACGACGTCGTCATCGGCCCATTGGACCCAAACTCAGTGTACTATTACCGCTGTGGCTCACCTTCCTCTCCGGAGCTCACCTTCAAAACTCCTCCATCACAATTTCCCATCAAATTTGCAATCATAGGTAAAAACTTTAGCTTACTAATTTATACTATCTAGAGATGCAAAGGAGCCCATCGCTCCGCGAGCGTTACTCGAGTCGAGCTCTAGCATTTTGAATTCAACTCGAGCGATCAAGTTCGTTAGTTTGTATGTTAGCATTTTGAATTCAACTCGAGCGATCAAGTTCGTTAGTTTGTATGCTCGAGCGCTCGATTATCCGCTCGAATGTATGTAAATTTACTAAAACACCCCTTATTAAACATTTTTAATTGATATTTTCGAGTTGAATTCGAGCTGATCTCGAGCGTTTGTGTTTTTGTTGTTGAGTCGAGCCTCGAGCAAGACAGACTCGTCCAGCTCGAGCAGCTGTCAAGAAAATTGAGCACGCCTAAACTTCGACTAGGCTGAGCTCGTTTATAGCCCTACATTATCCCAATTCAACCTGATTAATAGATATTTTTTTTTTCAAATGCATCTTACCAACAAGAACATATAACAACAATATCAATTAGTTTATTTTGTGGGAGATCAGATCTCTTGTTGGACAGAGTGCATGAGACGCGTACAAATATGACGCTATTATATACACATATAATGCATTCAATGAAATGAAACGCGAAACAAAATTACATTCATAAAATGCAGGTGACCCTGGTCAAACCGAGTACACAAAGTCAACCCTCGACCACATGTCGAAAGCGGGATATGATGTCCTTATACTAGCGGGTGACCTAGCGTACGCGGACTTGAAGCAACGGTTATGGGACGCCTTTGGACATCTCGTGCAGCCGCAGGCCAGCCGCCGCCCGCGGATGGTCACCCAAGGCAACCACGAAATCGAGAGAATCCCTTTCATACACAAGGAAAAGTTCACATCGTACGACGCCGGTGGGTCATGCCACACGACGAAAGCGGGTCCCCCTCCAACTTGTTCTATTCCTTTGAGGCGGGCGGGGCCCACGTCGTCATGCTCTGGTCGTACGCTGATTTCGAGCCAGGGTCGGCCCAGTACAGGTGGCTGCAGGCCGACCGCGGGAAAACCCCGTGGCTCGTGGCTATAATGCACGCGCCGTGGTACAATACCATCAATGCACATCAAGGTGAGTACGAGTCGAGCGTCATGAGGGAGTCCATGGAGGATTTGCTCTACAAGGCAAGCGTCGACGTGGTTTTCGCTGATCATGTTCATGCGTACGAACGCTTTGTAAGCTATACTTTTCGATTTTTTTGTTGTTTTTTAGTGAGTTTTTTTTTTTTTTTTT